GTTCTCTTGTTTGCCAGTATCCTGTGTGCGGAAGCGTGCCAGTTAGAGCTGGCACGGTAGCCATTTGTCTTTGATGTCTTTGCATCTCTGCGTAACGGTGTGGCTCCTCCCCTGCGCCCTGCCCCATGTAACAGAAGAGTCTAAATACAATTTGAAGAAATCAAAAGTCTTTTTTGTTGGACACTTCAAAGACAGTGTTTACAGTATTAAGGTACTTGGTAACTTGCATGGGTTTTTGGTTTGTTGGGGTTTTTTGTTTGATGTTTATTAGTTCTTTGAATGCCACATGCAGTTTTGACAGTTGTTCTTTAAACCACTTGCAGTTCTAGGTTTTCATCTTTTAAAACTTTGTTATATCTGATTCTGTTCTTGGATGTCCAATGTTCTGTAACTGTTCTGTCATGAATTCCTACAAGCAAAAGCTTTGTGCCACTTTTTACAGTGCTCACCTTCCCAAGTTGTTAAAGTATTCTACTAACTTAACTGTTACTTTTATGATCTCTTGAGCCATTCAGTTTGTAGTGACAGCAATTGCCATTTTTTTGCATCCAGAGGTCCAGTGTAGAAAGGATTATTGATCCTTTTGGGAAAGAGCCTATATGATTAGATGAGTTCCCATGAAGAATACTTCTATGAGTATTTGCATTGCAGATTAGAGCTTCAGGTTTATGTGAGACTTGTCTTGAGATCTGGTTAAATTGGCAAAACCATAGGGTGGATCACTTTGTAAGGTAATACAGGAAGAAGAGCTGCTTCTATTTCCAAATACTTGAGGTTAGTTGTCCACAGCCCTTAACAGGGAGTGTTGTGTACTTATATTTAGCATGACTAATAACCCAGAACCTAATGATTAAAGAGGAAAAGCCTAATAATGGAACAGGAAGAAAATACTTTAACAATGGCAGAACACAGGTGAAGATCATCATCTTCTTGAAAATTGCTGATTTAAACACCGTAGAGGCACAAGAAGGAAAAGAAAAACAAAACCAAAAACCCAGATCATTGCAGATGTAAGCTTTAACTGGTTGTTTTTTGGTTTTTTTTTTTTGTTTTTTTCACTATAAGTGAAGCATGTGCTCAAGAAGTTCCTTTCAAAAAGACTTATTGCTTTAATAAGTAGGACCAAATAACAAAGCTGCAAACTGGAGTACCCATCAGAGTTGATGTCTGACAAGAGTAGACATAATCTCTGTGGAGTGTTTGGTTTTTTTGGTCTGAATCTCATGTGTCAGCAAGAGAAATGATATACAGTTCTGTATCTTGAGAACATCTCTTCATGTATAGGCTGTCAGGCAATGCCTCTCCACTGCTTGGATTGGTTGGCTTCAAAGTATTTGTTTTGTGGCAAGAAAAGAAATTCAGTGAAGAAAGTGGCAGGCAATATATCTCCCAGGTTTTAGCAGAAAATTGAACAGTAAATTTCTGGTTTAGGGCTTTATAGCTGAAATAATTACTTTTACTGAAGCTTTGGTGGGAAGTACTGTAGAGGATTAAGCCACTCACAAGCAGACCTCAAGGGTGTGAGGAAGGGGAACTCTTGGAGAAGCTTTCTGTACTTCTATACTTTTAACTAACTTTTTCTTTTTTTTTTTTTTTTTTTTTTTTTTTTGGGCTGGGTTGTCATCCAGTCTGTGCTTTTAAAGTCTTGTGTTGGAGAAGAACTAATATAGGTTGCTTATAAACAAACAGTTGTAAGATACAGTAAATAGTACTTCTAGGCTATCTCTAAATATAAATGTATTTTGAAGCGATGGAGTGAGGGACAAGGTTCTTTATGATTCTTATTAGTACTGATATTTGAAAGTACTGCTTCAGGTGTTTCTTTTTACTATCTGCCAGCCAGGGAGAGTTGCCAGTATTTTTAGATCTTTTATGACAATTTTTTTTTTTTTTTCCTTCCCCACCCCCCAGTCTCCTCTTTCTCCATTTGAGAATTTACTAATCAGTTTAGTTTGGTAAAATGTATTAAAAGTGATAGCTTCCTGTACTTATTTATGCCTTTGATGGATCTAAAAACTGATTTGGATTTCATGCATGATTTCATGCTTTGCTGATTCTCTTTTGGTGTGTGTGTCCCTTTTTATTTATTTATTATTTTTTTCTGTCTCCTTTCTTGCAGTCTTCAGTTTCCTTGCAGGATAGCTCTGCAGGGACGAAGGCACCTTTTTTCTAGTTTGCACTGAGTCCTTAGGTGAGTCACTTTCTTCTGTGAAGCAAAGCCCACAATAAATTAAAAGTGGGTTCTCAACTTGTGTGTTAAAATGTAGAAGTTAATACGGACCTTTTGTTTATTATCCGAATGAACTTGCACCTATTTTGCAGTATCTGCAGGTGGAGGGGCTAACACTCTGTAAGCAATTTAAAGTGTGTTTAATGGATCATCTAACTAGAGAAGTATTGTCTGTGATGAGTTGCTAGTCCTGCCTTCTGGTGTTTACACATCCAAACATTGCTCTCTTGGCCAGTGAGCTTGGGGCCATGTGAAGAAAAGAATAAGAAGCATTCTAAACTGAAAAATGCAAAAGGTTTTCACTGCTTGTGGAGTTCCTGCTCCTTTGAAACACTGAAGAAACTTCACTCAGTTTTAGTGGATTTAGCTAGCCCTAAGTTCTTAATATGCTTTCAGATCTTTAAAGTTATTTGATAGTTGATCGGATTAAGGATTACTTTTGATCCCTTTTAGAATGAACGAAGATGATGACTGATATTAATTGGTATTGAGGCCTAGCTCTGTGCTGTATTGTAACACTTCGGAAATAGTAGTGTCTAGAAAAGAGGAGCAAAAACCTTTGAATTTCAGTGATAATTCTACTGCATTTTGTAATTTTTGTGTTCTTTTTTTCTTTTAAGGAGGCGAATGTACTATATTACATTTATTTCATAATCTGAAAGGAGAATAGTATTTGGAATAATGGCAACAGGAGACCTAAAAGGAAGTTTAAGAAAAATAGAACAAGGACTTCGCTTATTAAATTATCCGAGAGATGTGGATTATACATTGTAAGCGGCACTGTGAATAAATTTATGCTAATACATGATGACAGCAAGTTGTGTAAACAAGATGTGTGTAAATGTTGGCATTGCATGCAGTGATGAGTAAGCAGAGCACATGTCTGTAGGAAGTTGGGATTTCATACATGTGAACTGGAAGATAAAAGGATGCTTTTCTGAGCAATCCTTAGAATAATCCTGAAGTGTATTGCTATCTTGCTCTTCCTTCTCCTGCTGTCTTTCTCTTTTCTTTGATTAATCTCTCTCCTTTGTAATTTCTTTGTATGTGTTAGCAAAACTTTCTTCAGGAAATTTCATCCTGTAACGATTTAAAAAAAAAAAAAGTGTTGAATGTGATGGAAATGCTGGCGGACTTTAGCCCTGACAATGTTAAAATTATACGAGGGTCGCAAAAATGTTGTTTGGAGCATTTTACGGATAACAGTAAAGACTGCTGAATGAGATACGCCTGGGAAAAAAACTTAAAATGAAGTCTCGAGATACTTGGGTATAATGTGCGGGCTATGCTAAAACACCTTCCAAGTTAAATGTTTCAATTCATGTAATGAAAGGCTTTTGTTATCTTCTGCTGTGTAAAATACTTTCGTTTTCTTAATAGGTTAGTAAAGGGTGATCCAGCTGCATTTTTACCTATCATCAGCTATTCTTTTACATCATTTTCAACTTACATAGCAGAACTTTTGGTAAAGTGCGATGTGGAACTCACAGCAAAGAGTGACTTGCGTTTCATTGAAGCTATTTATAAGGTATCTGTCTTCATGTTCTTTGCAGGAAAGGCACAGTTTTGAGTATGGCCTCATAAAAATTGACCATCTAGCATGAGTTTTACTAGAAAGTGAAAATTTTTGACAGTGAATGTGAATTGCAGTTCTGTTAGTATTTAAGATGAGTAGTAAGTGACTGTATGGTAAGTCTTTAGATTTTCATGAAAATAAGGCTGGATTTTGTTAGTCAAATCTCAATTTTGAGACAACTGTAGAATCAGTAGTATTATTGTGTTTTATGTTTGTTGTAAAGAATACTGGAATATTTGTTACACAATAGGTTTTGTAGAAGTGACCTTAGCAGAAATAATAACCCGCAAAAAATCACAGCAAACTTCAATAATTGTAATAAAAAGACAGTTAAGAAATAGTGTTATTTTAAAACACCATGCAAAAGTAATATACAAAGTCCAGTTCTTAAGAATTTATACATTGGAATCAAATCAAACTCTTAACTGAATGAAAATAATTTTGAACTATCCTTAAAAATACCCATAAGCACATTTTTATAAAAGATGGCTTGATACATTAACAAATACGAGTTTATTCAGACTAATTTTCCGTCTGAGGAGGACAGACTCCTTTACAAAGAGGCTCTGTGGGAGCTTTACTTAGCCCTCTGACGCATTTGCTGAGATTAATACAATTTTTTTGTGCATTCACTTTGGAAAGTTTTTGTTTAACTTTTCTAATATTAATGTCTACAATCATTTATTTAATGAATCTTAAGACTGTGAGTTAAACTTTACAAGAGTGATGTGAATTAAATGTTTCTGGAAGAGGTATGTTGAAAGTCTAGTTAGAAGAAACAGCTGAGAATGTATAAATAAATGAATGAGAAAAGGTTTAACTGCTGAAGTGCAGAATGAAAGAAAAGACTGTAGAAAAATAAGAACCTGAACATGCCATTCTACAACAAATTTCATGGTGATTTTGAAAGTGAAATAAACTCTTATTTTGTTGCAGCTTCTTCGAGATCAATTTCAATATAAACCAGTTTTAACAAAACAACAGTTTCTTCAGTTTGGCTTTGCAGAAAGAAAAATGCAGATTGTTTGTGACATTATCAACTGTGTGGTGAAAAAACATAAGGAATTAAGTAACTCGAATAAGGTACTGATTAAGTGATAACTTTACTGTGAGATAAGTTTCTTTTGACATGCTTCATGTTGCAGGTACATGCTGAAGACCAGATTATTTGAAGGTGCAGCACTGCTGATAGTCAAAATAGGGGGAAAATTAGTGTGAAGTTCCATTGTAAGATGCTTGATTGCTATCAGGTATACAAAAGACACAAAGCTGCCAATGCTTTGTTGTATAAACAAAAAATATCAGAATGAAGATAAATGTAGTACTTGATATCTTTACAGTAAGTGATATATTTTCTTCTATACTTCTCAAGATAGTGAATGTTTGTGTAACTCAGTAGACTTTGCAGGTAGATTTAAAAACAAAGCAAAACTGGTATGTTGGAAGTTCCGGTAACATTTAATTTAAACATGACTTTTGTGTTTGTGTTTCAGTGGTATACATCTCGAGTCTGATTATTTTAATTAATCGTATTTGTTTTACTTTGGTAAGGCATTACTTTTTATCAGTGTATGCTGTGATTTTGTTTCATTTGAGTTGATAAGTCTTCAGGTTTTTTGTATGCTTTGTCACTTTTAGGGGCATGACCACGTTTGTTTTTTTTTTTTCATGTTTGTTTGTCTTTCAACTCTGGTGCAAGATGTCTTTTCTCTTCATGATCAGCTTTGATGCAGCCTCTCATAGGGGTTAATGAGTGTATGAATAAGTCATTCACTTCCAGATCTGTTTTCTCTGTAAATTTGGGTCATACTTAATTTTTTTTTTTTTTGAGGCTGTTGTACTGCAAAGGTTTAAATGTGTTTCTGTGTGTGCCATGCAATATTCCTGCCTATTAATGATGGCAAAAAATGGGGTGTGTCATCTCATCCCCATGTTGTTATTGTTGTGTGTCCGACCCCCACAGCCCCGGAAAATATTTCTATGTTAGCAGCATAATATTTTCTCCCCTTCACTTTGAAGGTTAAATCCCAAACAAGGAAAAAACTCAGATCTTTTAAATATGAAGCATGGTCAAATTGTGATAGCGTCCTTGCTGATCCTAGTGGCAGTGCTCTGAATTCCAAACAGGTAGGAAAATAATTTTTATGTTGTATGTCTAAAGGTTACTCTCATTTGTAACAAGTCAGGCACTTTCTGGAATATATGCTTTCATTGAGGTTTTTATGCTTGATCAGACCAATTAGTGGGGTTTTTGTTTGCTGCTGTTTGTTTTTTTTTTTCCCCCCTGAAGTGTGGGTGACTGAAATGATAGCTGAAATACTGAGGATATTGCTTTTCTGTTTTACTCAGTAGTTGATCTCAAAGTCTTGATAGTAATGATCTAGTATTGTTGTTTGCCATTTGAATTATATCAATTCAGGGACGGCAATGAAAATGAAGATGCAATTGGAAAAAAGAATATACAGGCTGATTGGAGATTGAAGTGTGTCTGGCCTAACATTGCAATGTTTTCAATGTAGCTTTCAAAACACTTTTTGTTCTTTTGTCTGAAACTGTTCAGCAAAGATTTCTTAATCTAGCATTCCTGTTGGCTTCAGTTTTACAAGAGTAACACTTGATCTTATGTGTTATGCTAATCTTGGCCTGTGGAGGAGACAGCTTTCCTAATATTCTGCTAAAAGTGTGCAAATTAAAATTGTACAAAACTTTTAGTACTGTGACTCCCCATTAAATGTTGGCGATTTCTATTTAGAAGAAAGATACTGATTTAGCAGAAGAAAATTTCACAAAGGAAATATTTGAAATTACTTATCTGGCACTTCTTGTTGTTGAATGGTAGAACTGAATGGGTATATATGTGAGTGTATTAAGAATTCCCTAGGAGAGGAGAGTTGCAGCTTTAGTAAAATATGTAGGAATCTGTAAGTGTTAAGATGCTGCACAAAACTAGTTCTTAATCATTAGGTAGTTTAGTTTGTTACATGGCAGTTAGTGATCATAGGATTTGATCTACCTATAAAGAAAGGCAAAATTTGTCTCTTACTTTGTTCTCTCTAATGGAAGCATTCAAAAGGAATGAAATGTGTAGCTAGTAGGGCTATTTTGTTGACACTTGTCAAGGAAAAGAGAGTTTTACCCTTCCTATTTAAACTTTTTTTTTTTCTGAATGTTTGAGTGGTGGTTTTGATGTTGGAACTGTCTATACGTACATTTAAACATATTGCAAGATTCATACCTCCCAATCCACACCTAGAAATCTAACAAACCTTACAATAAGAGAGGACATTAATGCCTTTATTACCATTTATGGAAGGGAACCAAGGTACACAGTACATATGGTAAACTGTGTGCATATTTGTTTTACAGTTCTTTCATGTCTATATGATGTTTTTAAATTAAACTGCCTGCTGTTTTCTGTGTTTTGCAACCAGATGGGATAAGATTGTCAGATTTTAATAAATAAATACTAAAATGATAGGTCTTTTCTGTCAGTTACTTGGCTGATGAATTGAAATGTTCTTGGAATAAATAACACCAGTGAATTTTTTTTTTTTAACATGCTCAGAAGAAGCCTCAAGTAGAAAGGCATTCAGGAAATGAAGTTAGTGATGACCTTCATCCACCACCCATTCCAGCACAGGGAGGTAATGAAGAAGAATTGTTCCTAGATGATGATGATGTGGAAGTTAAATGTGAACAAGTAAGAACTTTTATTGTAAGATGCTGTCCGCATGTATTCTTATCTTTTCTTACAGGGCTTTTCTAAAGGGATGAAGGTTTTAAAAAGATAGCTGGATGCTCCTTAAGTATAATTAATGGATATATAATAAATATATTGAAAAAAGTCAGTTAAATTATACTGTCCTTTCAAGAGCCAGTTCTGTCAATAGTTTCTTTAAAAGCTGAATTCTGTGAATAGGTGTATTACGGCAATTCTGAAAGCAAAATAATTTTCTAATGTAGCAGAATATGTTTCTGAACTCGAGGAAGATTCCACTTAATTTCATTGATCAAATGATGAATTATATTTTGAAATTAGAGGACATGTTCTTGTCCATATTTTCAGGTCATAGAAGATAATTGTCAGATTGAGTTCCTAAAGAGTCAGCTTGCTGATTGTCAGGAAAAGCTTCATAAGCTAGATTGGGTGGAAGATAAACTACATGTTTTAGAAGAGAAACTGAAAGGAAAGGTGATCATAGATGAGAAGGACTGGAATAACTTGTTGAGCCGAGTTTTGCTTCTTGAAACGGAATTGCTGTTGCAATCCAAAAAGGTATGTTAATTTCTGTTTTTCTTCTATAACAAAAATTGCCCAGACACAGTGTTGTCAGCCTACTTCTATTCTGCCTGCCTCCTTCACTACTTTTAAAGGCATGATCTGAATGGAAGTCCTATTTACGGAATTGGTGGTATTTTTTTCTTAACGTTAAGTTTTGTTGTTTTCTTATGCTCTGTGAAGCAAAGCTCTTCATTGGAAATTGTTTCCTTGCAGGAACAGCAGGTGTAGCTGAACCTATTTTTATTAGCAATGATTGTGTGTGTTTTCATTTCCTAGAAAACTTGTAGAAGGAGGCTTTTGAAGACTTTTAATCATGCTGTCTTTGAAAGCTTCATGTTTCTACAGTTGAGAATTTCATCATGCTAGTGACACATTTAAGGGTTTCCTTATTCTGGTCTGCATTATTCTGAACTTCTTATACCGGTCTGCAAATGTTATTGTTGTTGATACAGTTGAATATCTATTTTTTTAATTCTCCAAACTCTAATCAGATACAGATATTCTCTTTGGAAGATTAAGTCTTAATTCTGTAAAACAATTTTTGATGGAATGCTCAACGGAAAATACAAGGTTAATGGAAAAGTTAATTCCCATTTTAGTCCTGTTCTTAGTTTGTGAATCTTTAAAATTTCTAGCCTAATCCACAGTCTTTTGCCTTTTTGTATGGCCCCCCTGCCTTCCTCTTTCTTGTCCATGATGTTCATTACATTTTTAAACACGTGAAAGTGCTACAGTTGTGATGTGGCTACATTTGGCATATTTGTTGGAGCAAATCAAGTATTTTGTTGCATTAAGACTTTGTATTATTTTTCATGCTGTTGAAAGGTCCTTGTATGCACAATAAATAATTTCATATTTGTGGACATGTAAGTATTTTGAGCTGCAGTGAAACATAGCATCAATTTTGGGATCACATGCTTAATTTTTAAGTGTATTTGCATATGTGCCTCGTGTATCCTTCAGATACTGTTAGATGCTTTTCAGAAGCTGAAAACCCTTGTGATTAGTTGATCAGTGTTGTGTATTTATCTGTAGTTGTAAAAATGTTGAATTTACTTGTAACCAGCTCTGTGTGTGTTACTGGCCCTGCAAATTTGAAAACGTTGCTAATACTTGTATACAAGACGTTTCTTTCTGTGTGCCTTGAAAGTGTGCTAGTTATGCAAGGTCTTGAAATGGAGAAGTGTTCAGACATCACTAGGTTGTTTCTAAAGGCCGTAGCTCAAATGCTAAGGATCAACACTCTCAATCACTTTTTTAAAGTACAGTTTCAGGTCAGTAATGGCTCAAGTGATTTACCATTTGAAATCAATTTCTTATGGTTATTGTAATTTAATTACTAGTGGACATATGTCCAGATACCACCCACCAATGTTTTCTTCTGCTAGCAGTCTCAAGAGGCCTTCAGCTTAACAGCCACAGGCAGTTTTGCTCCTGTTTCATGTGTATTCTCTTCAAGAGATAGTTGTTGCATTTATGACAGTAGCAGCACAGGACAGCTTGTTTTTCAGACTAGGCTTGTTCTTCTATTTCTGTAAATTTGGTTTATTATTACTTCAGCAATGTGTTTATTGCAGTTGTTCAAAGGTTTGGAATAGTATTTGGAAAATACTTAACATTAGTATCACTCAAAATTTTCCAGTAAGATAATTATGTTTCTGTACTGCATATTACTGAAAGAAGTATCTGCAGAAACAAGTTTGAATTTAGTTTGTGTGTGGCATTGTTGCTTGTCTTTTTTTCAAAGCAAAAGAAGCTGTTTTTTTGTATTTTAAAAAAAAAAATCTTCAAAACCCTAACTTTTTTGCAATAGGCATTTGAAAACTGCCAAGAAAAAATCCTTTGAGCCAGAGAATTGCTGCTTCTTTGTTTTATGAAATTCCATCAACTTTGGATATAGAAGCAATTCAGAATTTCTCCTTTCTTCTTACCCTTGCATTTTTTAGGGAACTTTTGGCATCTAATCAACATAGCAGGAACACTAAGATCTGTCTTGCACTGCTGCCAAAGTGGCAGCAGCTGTGCATTTAGCTCTGGGAAAGTCTGAAAGCTACCAAATCCATTTCAGCAAAAGGAATTGAGCAGAAGTAGTGCAGATTTTTTTTTTTAAGAGGTATCCATTATTACATTTTTCTTCAGCTTCTTCCCACAGTACCTACTAATTCTCCCTCGTTCACTTTTTTGGGTATAATATTCCCCTGTTAACTGATAATGGTTACTTCAGTATATAAAGTGATACACTTTTTATCAAAGTCTGAGATTTCAAATCACAACAATAATTCTTTGGTGAAAAAAGTCTAGATGTTGTGTATGAGTGTTGGATTTTCTTATTTTGAAATTAGAAGAATTGCACTCAAAAACATTTATTACAACAGTAATTTTGTTTCCTTGTTTATGAACAACATTTTCTGAGCTAGATTGAATTAAACTGAGAACCTTCCTTAAAAAAGCCCCCTCTCACTTAGGAGCCTGGGAAACTAGCTTAAAATAGACTTGAATTCTAAGCATTTGAGTGGAATGAATTTCAGTTCATCTGTAGGCTAATTTTTTAGGACCAAGGAGCTATGTTTCTGCATATCAACCAGAAGTAGAAGAAGGTACACTTGTTTTGCTAAGGTAACAGCAGCCAATGTCAAGATGTAATTGTTAGCGCAGGCCAAGAACAGTCTGATTGTTCACTCTACTTGAACTTAAGTTATATGCACTATATTTGGACCTGGTTTTGACCTGTATGAACAGCAATATTGATACTCAAAAAGTCCCCATGAAATAGACTAGTTTTTAAATGCAATGTATGTATGGAAATTTGGATTTTTTTAGTCCTGTAGAGACATTTGTGCAGTGCCAACATATTTGGATGGTATAGCAAATGCATACATGATTAGTACTTAAATATGCTTTTGTTCAATCAAAAGATGATTTAAACAGGGTGTATGGCTAAAATGCAGTAAACTTGTTTTTCAGAGAGACTTATCTACAGAGTTCAGCAATGTAGGTCAAGAATGTACTTCTAGTAGGATTCCAGTTTCTCCTGGTGAGTACTAATGATTTTCTTTTTAATTAACATCATACGTTAAACATTTCTTGATGACCTTAAAAAAAATAAAAAAAAATCAAAAAAAAAAATCACTGTTTTAGTTAAGTAGACAATTGCAATTTAGTGACCTCTAAATTTAAATGCATGCTGCAAATTAGGAACTAACCTGCTAGTCATTTCACGTTTGCAATTTAATTCTTTAGAAGCTTTATTTACTGAAACAGTTTTTTAAAGCATTAATGAAAATACCTAGCATAGTAATTAATAGTTACAAATAACTACTAAAAATCTCAAAGATGCAAATTTAACTAAGGTGCTATAATGAAAGCTGTGGAAAACAATAATGTTAGCTGTCCTTTAAAGCAGTTATCATAATGTTTTAAAAATAAGCTATCCATAAGCACAAAAGAAATTATATTTACTGCCATGTGTTTGTTATAATTAAAATAGTGTCACATTTATGTTGTTTTTTACTTTTATAATGGGGCTCAGGACAAATCAGGGCTTTTTCATTTGTAATCACTGCTGAATATTCTCTATAGTTTCATCCCTTTTGAAGCAGTTAGATAACCAACTAGCATTTTTGCAAAACTTACTTATTTTGAAGAGTGAGATAAAATCTTTTTCTTCCATTCCATCTTAACTTTGATAATGTACAAGAAGTAAACAAAACAGCCTTAAGTGGGAAAGAAATTAAAAACATTCCACAGGCCATAAGTAATTCTTCTCTCTTCCTCACAGGTAGCTCTTTAGCCCTTATTCCCTGTTGTAGCTGTTATTCCTACTACGAGTAGTAAGGAGGATATTCTATTTCCCATTATTAGGCATTTTTGTCCAGTGATGGGCTGTTACACTGAAATTAAAAGGGAATCTCAGTAATCCAGTTTCTGTGGAAATTGACATAGCCAAGAAACTGCCTTCCTAAAGTTTGTTTTAATTTTTGAAGTCTCAGAAATGGGACCTTCTTTTTACAGACCTTAGAAATCTTGCAACATGTTTGCTTCATTTCATAAGTATAGTGGTATGTTATTGATGCTTGAGGACTTCATAGTCGGCAAGCAAGCTGATGGTCTTTAAAAGAGAAATGTCTTATTTTCAGATTTCTGGAATTATTCTGAATTGTTCCTGCTTTTCTAAAATAGGATTCAGGAAATTTAAGGCATACAAGTTATGTGGCCAGTCTTAACTCTTATATCTGAGGTGTACAGTACGCTGAATGCTTTGATGGTCTTTTTGGTTGTAGTGCTCTTCAGGAATCACAACTGTACAGAAGAAACACTTTTTAATTTTGACTGATTAAAAATAGTTTAATATGATTTTAAATACAGAATAGTGTAGCTAAACATGTTCCAAAGGCATGGCCCATAGATGGTGGCCTTACTGAAAATAAGGATATGGGAACACTTTTTCTCTTTTTCTAAATACTTAATTCTCTTCCCTGACAATAGTTTTCTGAGATTGCAAAGAGTATCAAAGCCTTCCCAGTGTAAAAGTCTGTTTCTGCTGAATGGATGTGAAACCTATCCCAATGGGAGGAGAGTTAGGGAAACAGCAAGCGCTTGATACAAATTTTAAGCTCAACAAGAAGGTGATGATTTTGTTTATATTTCTGCTGCTTATAAGACAGGTTACCTACAAATCAAACACATGTTTGAACAGGTAGTTTATGATAAAAATAATGTAAACTGTTTGAAATCACTTTTAAATGTTTGACCCAGTAATTAGACTTTCTCAAGTGTTGATTTCACTGTAGCATTAATAGTAATCTTTTTTGAATTTGTCTTGTGTGTGCTATACATAGTATACTGCACTTACCTTGTTTTAAGAAAATGAGAAGCCTATTTTCAGCCCTCACCAGTAGCTTTTCTTTTTTCCTCTCTAAACAATGCATTCTCTTCTGTTATTACGTACTGTAAATCAAGCTGTTTGATAGCTGACCTTGCAGAAAGAGAGCAAAAAGGCAAAGGTGACTTAAAAATGAGTATTTCTTCATAGATGCAGAGAGAAAGGAGAAGATGCCAGAGAGTCTTCATCAGTTGTCTGGATACAGTTCACTATTATCCACAGACCCATCTCCCAGAGCCATGACCATTAATTCTCATGATCTGACAGACATTTCAAAGGTAAGTAAAACTGGCAAATGCTTAGTTGATTTCCTTTCTGAGGTCAAGAGAACAAGTAAGCATTAGTTTTAGTTGTATATACTACTAGTGAAAAACAAGGAAACTATGCAAAACTACATCTAGGTCTGTCCCATAAAAATCCTTTTGATATGTAAACAGTGCTTAAAGTCACATTTTTCTCTGATTTTTTCAGGTTGGAAGTCCATCTGAAGAATGTTAGCTTTGAAGAGTTCACTAACTTTGTTGGTTTTAAATTGCAGGAGACAACAAGACAAAGAATGGAAAGGATAAGTAAAATGTAAGTAATAGGAAAGGGCAGCAGTAATTCATTTCCCAGGAGGGAGTTGTACTGGACTAAGACATATAGAGAACATACATATGTGTTCCAAACCTCAAAGGTCTCTACATCAGGTGTGGCATTTCCTTATGACTCCACTGGATAATAAATCCACTTACAGTTCTGTATTTGTGGGATGAGTCACTGTTTTGGTTTCTAAAAAGCAATAGAAAGCATTCTTAATAGTATTAACTAGAGATTAAAGTGTGTTTAGAATCCAGTTGACAAGGAATAGGAATATTATTTATCTTCTGATAGGAACTCGCTGGTACTTGCAACTTTTCTTCCTGAAAAATAACTACAATATCTTAAAGCTGTTTTTTATTATTTAAGGAAAAGTAAGACTAGTTTCAGGCTAAGCATTGTAAGAACTGTATTAAGGTGTACTTGATACTAGTCCTGAGATCTGTAATGAAATTTTTGTTATGTAAGAAATACTTTTATTACACTTGAAGAGAAATGCATTGCTCTATAATGTTTCTTTAGCAAAAGATTTCTATTCTAAAGTGCCTGGCCTCAAAAAAGCCATAGCCTTTTTTGTGATTTACTTTTATTCTGTGGGTTACTTTTTACTTTATGCATACTTAAGGTTTGTTTATATGTGGTAGGCATTTAAAATACAAACCAATTGCAGAGGAAAAGGGGGTATGAGAGGAAATTTAAGGCTTAATGCTGCTTATTAATATTGTGGATTCATTAGGAAGTTAAAGATGAAGTCAGATACTTCTTACCATATTTTAATAAGTGTGCATGTCTAAACAAAATTTATTTTCAGAATTGAAGAAACCTCAGACTTGTTGAAAACCTCAAGCAACACCTGTGAGAAGACCTGAAAGCACAGGTCTTAAGACCTGGTCTCTGTAGACTACGGATATCAGAACTAATATGTATGTTTGTACAGCATTAAATTTTTAATATATCAAATTTGTAGTGATCACCAGTGCTTTTATTACTTTGAATAAATATTTTCTAATGCATCTGTGTACTGATTTCCCTCCCCCCGACCCTGTTTGTTGGGTTTTAAAAACTGTTCATATAGCTTCCCCCCACTTCTGTAAAGTGAAGTCATTACAGCAATGTATTTTTGTGTTGACATTTGTTAGCAGTGTGCTAAGTAATATGTTTTTTAAAGTGCAGGTTTGAGGACCATGGTTTACATCCTGTTGGAAACATTCCAGCTGGGTCTTGCATATTGCACCCAAGAGGCTTTCTTACATACCATCTTACCATCTGTACCGTTGAATAAGTCTTAATGAAAACTTAAATACACAATTTTAAATATGTACCTTTTTGCTGGTTTTTTTAAATATAAAATTTCATGCTGAGCTGGAGAACACCAACACATTATGGCTTCCATTAACACTGGCAAAGTGAGGGTCAGTTTGATCCTAAATACTAAAATGCTCAAGTTAGTCCACAGACTTTGACTGCAAGAGATGTGTTGAGTGTTTTAGTGCTCTTACCCAACACGTTTTAAGACCAGCAGCGCAGATGGTGACCATCCAGTATACAAAGATACACATTTTTAAGATTTGAAGCTATATTAAAATTCTTCTTTAGAGACATAAGTAGATGTAAGGCTTCCATAAACATTATATAATCAAACGAAAGATGTGTGAGGTTTGATTAAAATTTATTTATTTATTTACTCTTTGTAAATTGGTAGCGTATCATATCAAGGGTTCTTTGTGCTATAATACTCACTTAAAAAGATTTTTGGAATTGAATATCACAAAACCAGTGGATTTTTTGGCAAAGTTTGCAAATAAAGGTGAAAGCAGCTGTTTGACATTATGCTGTAAAAAGTGGTTTATACATTTTAACAATAATTATGATTTTTTTTTTTTCTGTAACCATATGGAATATAAATTGACTTTGACATACAAACAGAACATACGGTGATCCATTACGTTATATAAACTTTAGTTGAGAGTTTTTGGACTTTTGCAATAGAATTTTTCCAGTTGTTTAAAAAAAATAAAAAAATCAGATGGTGTGAACAAGTTTTGCACTTCAATTGAAAATATACCTTGCAAATTGCTGTTCATTATCCTAACAATGAAATGAAATGAGGTTTTCTTCTAAATGTTAGACCATTTCAACAAAAAGTAGGTGATAGTTTCTAAAATAGGACTATAGCACCATCTTGTGGAAATCTTTGTACAAAGTAATTGCCAAAGGAGGAAAAAAGTATATTCCTATACAGTTTAAGTTATTGCTTTAAACCAGTAATGATCAAATATTTTGAAATATTACCTCTCTTTAAGTTTTCCTTTTTTGCCTTGGAATTGAAGAGGCTTTTCTGTTAATTAAGATAATTATTCTGTATGATATTTGATAATGTTTGTGGCAGGAACCGGAACAATGAATCTGTTGTTTGTTGATGTTATGGCAAAGACGAGAAGTGTTAGTCAATATAAATAATTCAAGTTACAAGGATTTATCATTGAATTCATGTGATTTATGCAGCAAGTATTAGAAAAAGGTTTTTCTGTAAGTGTAGAACTTAATATGTCTATCTAGTACTGCAAAATTGAAAATGGGAGTTGTTCAACTATTTCCTTCTTCCAGAAGCTTAAATGAAGTACTCTTCTCCACACAGTGGGATTCAGCCTTTGTAATTAAATGCTTTGCTTCTCCTGTTTTCAGGACAAGCAGGGGCTTGCTTTGATCAAACTGAAGCCAAGGGTTTTGCTGTTAGGGCAGTGGAGCTGCTCTTGCATCTGCTTTTTTTTTTTAAATGAGATTTGGTTTTGGAAGATAATATTTCTTTTTCAGAAGATGGTACTCATAGTGCATTCAGACCCTCTTTACATGCTTGACTTAGAATTTTTTTTGTTATTATTATTATTCAGTTCTATAATTGGAAACAGTACTAGTAATGGTATATGTCACAGTAAAACTTCAACAAAGCAGTGCAATGCTGCAAAATACATGTCACGACTGAAAATAGCAACAGTTTTTGCATAATTACTGGTGCGATGCTTCGAGCACTGTCACAACAGTCAGAGTTGGCATTCTACATGTGCAAACAGTTGCATGGGTGGATCTTGCTGAGTGACAGGAAATGTTCGAATCCTTCCAAAACACAAATTAAATAAATCTAGAGAATGTTTCTCGCTATAGTTTCTATCCTGCCTACCTCTCTCCGACTTGGAAAAAATTCCTGTTGTTCAAGATATATGTTCTATGATTATGAATCTTTAATTGAACTACTTTTGTTTCTTAAAGCTACTGAACTTAATTATTAGTTTAAAAATATATATTAATTTTATAGTTAAGAATTGTTTTGATAACTCTCTTTAAACATTGATAGAATAATTCCACCTCATATAACTGAAAGCATTTATGCATTACATGGGATAATGTAGCATAATTGCATTAAAGTAGAATGTTAAAACTGAAGCTTCTACAGAAATAGACTTTTTAACTTGACTTTTTTTTTTTGGCGAGTTTCTAAATCTATTAAAACTTACAGGATTCCCATTAATTTTTTTTTTTTTACTCTGCCTTATCTAGCATCAGTATGCACTTTAATTTGTTTACTGAAATTAAAACATGCTATAGAAAACAATAAAAATCCTCTCACCCCAAATCTGTAATATTGAAAAGCAGTCTGATAACCTCTTCCAGTTATATTTTCAGTTTGTGTATGTACTGCTACACGTTGTGCTATTCTAGTGCTCTGAGTCATAAATACTAAGAAAATTATTGCAGTTATGACACTAGAATATATTCTTTATGCTGTTACTTTTGATGTTTAAGATCTGATACTTAAATTGTATTTTAGATCACTCAAGTGTGGTTGTACCTAAGTATGAGACGGGCTGAGTTCAGTTATATCCTGGTGTTTATGCCTAACTTAGAATTGTTTTGCATCATCAGAAGTGTATTCAAAATTCAAAGCCTTAATTACTAAGTGTGTCCTATTTCCTTATAAGTATATCCAATTTTTCTCATAGTTATTCTTGGAGTTCTTTTAATAAGTTTCTCTCCTGGTTTAGTCTCCTATCCCATGTCAGGCTCAATTCAGTTTCTAGTCCTAGCAAACATGGTGCAGAAGAAACCTGCACTGAAAAGGTTTTTTAAAGTTTTACTTTCTTTTAAATTTGCCCGATACAGGATACTTCTTGTCTTGAAATCAGTTCCATTAAGAAGAAAATCTCTCATGGAATTTGCAGAACTGAAATCTAGGGTGGGAATCTGTGGGGAGGGATGTTACTTGTTTTTCCTTCCCTGTCAGTCTAGCAATGATCAGTAGAGCCAGCTCATTTGAATTCCAATATAAAAATAATAATTCTGTTGCTCTTTTTTTTTTTTTAGCTTAAGCTGCTGATAGCATGTACTATTGTGACTTCAGTTTAAGAGTGGCAGTTCTCTCCCTGTGGAAGATCAAATAGGTGATAGTTCTTTCAAATGAGATATTCTTTTTAATTTCTTAAACAAGAGTATGTGTTGAATTGTGGGGACAGCTGTCTGGTGCCCATATGGCCTCACAGCTGAAGTTTCTATTACAGCCTGCGATACAACCAGCCTATAAGCATATTGCTCATACTAACTCGGAATTTTTTTCTAATGGCTATTTTGTTCTCCCCCCACTTTCCCTTGCTCATTGGCTTTTTTGTTTGATCTATTGTATCTATTTTTATTTTATTGTAGTAATGAAAAGGAAAAATTAAGGATATGGACGCACTGAAGTTTGAGAAGTGCATTCTTGTCTTGTAAAGGTTTGTTTTTCTGGAGAAAGAGAAACTGTATGAGAAGCTACTACTATTTGTGGAATTTACTTAGTTACTTTTTATTAGAGATGCTTAGAGTTCTTTACTAATCATCAGTGAACAGGGGTTAAAACAGCTTGTTCTATCACCTGCTTATTTTGACATTGGAAGTTATCCATCATTTCGAACAGTCATAGTTGTAATATATTCCACCTTGAAATTATTTTTTTGGCATTACAGTTACCTTTCCAAATACTTTATGCCACCTATAGTTCCTTTTCGGTTCCTTTCTAGGATATATTTTAACTCTATGTGGTGAAAATCTAAGTATTTCAGTTATAATCCTCAGACAGTAAAATATGCTGCTTCAGGAAAGCTATTAAATCTGCAAAAATTGCTTAATGATAGTATGTTGCTTCTGTTGTATCTAGGCAAATTTCTCTGCAATGTTCTTTGTAGGATACTTAGGATGATGCAATCAATACAAGGGTACTAGTTAAAACACTTGTGACTTGAGTCTTCCAGATGGGGAAGTCATACTAAAACTGGTATTTCTTCACCTGAGCATCCTACAGTTTATTTCATGAGGTGTGGTAAACTTAATAGCTTTGTTTATGCAATGAGACCTGATGCTGTATCTATGGTTATAAAACTTGTCCTCTATAGGCTCTATCCAGAGCAGATGCTTGACTTGGAAGTAGTGAGGCTTTCTTACTACTTGGGAGAAAACAGCTCTAATTATAGGTTAACAACAATAAGCAGTAGTGTGGAGCACTGATATTCTAATACAGCAGTGTGTGTTGGCTTTCCTCTCCTCTTTACCTTTCCAGTTATCATAGAGGAAGCTCTATATGCCGTAAAGCAAAATAACTTCTGATGATGGGCTCAGGAATCAGCAGAAATATAATTTTGCTAATGTTAGGTTTATAATGATTAACTTTTAGCATAAGCAATATCAAGGAATATTATGCTTTAGGGTATTTTAATCAAAGACACAATTATATTTCTAAAACATACTGCAAGGTCTTCATAAACTTTCACACTTTTGTGTCTATTCTCATCTTACCTGGAGTTGCTGCACTTCATTGAGTGCATGTTGAAATATGAGCTGGGATTAAGAGAACTGCAGTTATGGAGCCCTGAATATTTTCCGTGAATGCTGAGAATACTTTCACAAAGCTGAAGTTCTTGGCAGAGATTTCCTCCCACTGTTGGTCATTCCCATCTGACTACGTTATGAGCTGAATTTTGTAACTGATGTGACTTAAGTATACTCTTCTGAAAATACATCATGAGGGGTACTAGGGGTTTTGTGGTTTTTTGTTTTTGGTGTTTTTTTTTTGTTTGCTTTTTTTTTTTTTTTTTTTTAAATCCACATTATCTCTGTGATCCAGTTTATGACATTGCATACAAACGTTTGTGTCTGAACTTTCAGTTGGAGCAGCATGCTGTGGTGTCAGCAACTAAACTGGGCAGCAGGAGAGACCATGGGTCAAGTTAGTGTTTTACTGCTGAAGGATTTGCCCCCTGAGCACATAGTGAGCTAGAAGTGAAGTTTCTGTGCAAAATCCCAGTGTATGTATTCATGAAAACTTGTTTATTGCATGTTTGTTTAGTATATATTTGAATTGACTGAATGAAGGGGTAAATGTGTGTCTGAAAAAACATGGAAAATAGGATTAAAGGGAATCTACATTTTGGAATTGGGTCAGTTTTCAAGTGTTAAAATAGCTCTATTTATTACATCTGCTTCTGATCCCCACCCTACCCCCCACCCCCCAGCCAATTTTTCTGAAATTAGAGGCATATTTTTCACTGTGTTTAGAAAAAAAAGAATCTC